CGCCGGGGCGCCGGTCGAGTTGCCACGCAAGCGTTCACGAAACGTCACGAGTAAGCCACGTACGCACTTGCAGCCTATCTTATCCATATCCCTTTCATCTCCAGAGAGCCCGAACCACATGTTTTCTTCTTCCTCTCCCTTAGATCGAAATCTCCACACAGGCCCGCACAATCACCGTAACCATGCTACGCGGCCGCATGCTGTAGGGGGGTGCGGCCACTAACGCTGCAAGGTGCGAAGCCAAGGGGCGCTCCTCGCATGTCCGCGCGTCCACCTTCCTTTTCTCACCCCCCACAGCGCCGCGGCGACCATGGCCATGGGCGGGCCTGGGAGCTTGGTGGAGCAGCAGCATCAGTTATGGAATATTGGTTGTAGCAAATTCAATCGCCGATGGTAGCGAAAATCTACTGCGGTTGCAGCAAAACGGCGTCATCGTCATCGCGGGTCGCAGCTGAGATAAGAAGCTTGAAGCTTTTTTTAATGCGGTTGTAACTTTTATAACTGTCGGTTGCAACTTTTCGTTTTTCGTCCATGGCTTCGTTTTCACGATTGAAACTTTTTTTATAGTCGGATGAAGCTTTTTTCGCCGCTAGACGAAGCTTTTTTTGTCACCGGTTGTAACTTTTTTTGGTCATCCATACCTCCAGTCGTATATTGGTTGAAGCTTTTTTCGTAGCCGGTTGAAACTTTTCCTATCGCTAGTTGTAGCTTTTTTCGTCGTTGGTTGTAGCACTGGGCATCTCCCCTGGTGCTCGATTTTTTGTTGCAAGCTGCATACCTGGGATGAGCAGCGGCGAGCATGCCGGCGAGCTTCAGTCGTCGCAACCAGAGCTACATCGGTCTCAACAAGAGCTTCAACCGCGGGGTGCGGCTATTGCACGGGGTAAAGCAACAAGGATGGCCGGCGGTGGTTGGGGCTGGTGACTGGGATGGTGGCCGGCGGGGAAGAGGGTGGACGGCTGCGACGAGGACGGTGGCCGGCGGGACGAGGGAGAACGGCTGCAACGAGGACGGCAGCGTCGTGGACGAGGGCGGACGGCGAGCTGGCTGGCATATGGGAGATCACGGGGATAGTGGGGATGAACAGACGGCATGAGTTTTTTTTACCAGCGCAGCAATTAGGGAAGATGCAATCGTGCGGCTATTACGGAACGTATCGTACATCCATGACGTGATGGGCGCATACCTCTCCTGCACGCTTGGTTGTGAGCGTGAATGGCAGGATTCGAACCCAGGACGTTCTTGTAAAGAGTACGACGCCATAACCACATACCTTACGTGTTCTTACAGTGGGTTGTTTCGCCTTTTTCTTCTTCTTTCTTCGTTTTTCTCTCTATTCATTTTTTCTTTCTTTTCCCAAATTCGTGAAAAATAATTGCGAAAGCAACTCGTGAACTTTTTTCAAAATCGATGAACTTTTAAAAAAAATCGTAAACTTTTCCCTTGAAAGTAGATGAACATTTTCCAAAATCGATGAACTTTTTTTCAAAATTGCTGAACTTTATTCAAAATTAATGAACTGTTTTCAAATTTGATGAACTTTTTACAAATATTTGTGAACATTTTTTAAAGTCGATAAACTTTTTTTAAAATTCATGAACTTTTTCCAAATGCATAAACTTTTTTTAATGTTTGACGAACTTTTTTTGAAAATCAGTGAACTTTTTAAATCCATGAGAATTTTGTTTTTTTAATTCTGTTTTCTGAAATTCTGACTTTTTTCTTGAAAGTCAACAACGAAAAGATCGAGTCTTTTTTCTCTTCAGTAAACGTAACGATCGAGCGGGGTCGTGCGCGAGCTCGTCGGTTGGTTATTGGGCCGGCCCACGTAGCCAGGCGCGTGGGCGCTGGTTATAAATGGTGGGGTGGGTAATTTATTTCAACCTTAGGGACAGTTTTGATGACAAACGAAAAAAAATCAGAGAAACACTTAACGAAGAGTTTGTTTTTTCACTTACGTATTGCAAGGTGGATAATTTACTTTAAATTTAGATGCAATTTAGATGAAATACGAAACAATTAACAAAGAGTTTTTTTCACTTACAAATAGTGGGGTGGGTGATTTATTTCAACTTTAAGGGCAGTTTCAATGACAAATAAAAAAACAGAGAAACAATTAACGAAGAGTTTTTTTCACTTATCCACTTAGGTATGACAGGGTGCATGGGTAAATTACTTCAACTTCATGGGCAATTTAGGGTTCATGGACGGATTTTTTTTTGGAGAAATGTATCATTATTTATTATTAGGTATAGATATAGTCTAGGATTTGAACGGTATCTTAATTATTATTTTTTGAAAAGGGAATATGTCTACCTCAATGGCCATGAACGCATCCTTAAAAGAATGAAAGAAATATCATATATGTATAGAACTAGAATAACATAATGAAAACCTTGAAATAAACATGGGTCACACTCTCAATGAAATTCACTAACTTTTAGTCATTCGGTAGACATCGAAATAAATTTCTTTCAGTCAATTTGTTTAAAATGTTTAGATAGTAGACATTGATTCCCCGGTAAAAAAATTACACACTGATTCAAATAATGTTTTTAAATATTTCAAACACGTAAAGATTTGGGTGAACTTCAAGTGATTTTTTTTGCCATTTGGCTGAATTGAAACCGAAATAACTGAACTTTGGAAAATAAAATCAAAATCATGTTTGTATATACCTACAAATTTTTTATGATATGTTGCTCTTGAATAAAAAATGAATACTATTTAAGTAAGTTCAAGAAAGAACGAATGAGACCACTATTTCATCCTGAAAAAAAAATAGATCACAACGTCAAAAGGGAAAAATGAAATGTCAAAAACTTATCCATTTTTGAACTCATATTGTGATATGCACAAATATAATTTTTATGTCATGTCAAAATTAAATTTTTATATGGTCATGTAGTGTTGTACCTTTCCTTAGTACCATGTCATTTTTGTACATTTCTTATGCCATATAAATTTAAATTGGTTAAAAATGTTTCTATGTTGACTTATATTAGGGTACATATGATCCCATAAATCTTTGTACATGTGCATTCCTTAAGTCGATAATCATATAGTAAGAACAAGGACCACGTTTTGGAAGGAATATAAGTCCATTTTCACCGTAATAAGGTGTACTCAAGATATTTGTATGTTGTACCATATTTTTACAATGTCTGCAGTTAAATCCAATTAATGATTGGAGTACTTTATTTGCGATGGAATGACTGAAGTGCTTTGAAATGGAAATTTAGAACTAAAATTCTGAACTCCGGAGTTTTTAAATTAATTTGCCTTTAAAATTGAATATAATATATAAAACTTATTTCAGTTCAAGTCTTAATTCAGAAAGAATTCAAATTTTTTATAACATTAAAATTTTACATCGGTCATATAAATTGTTGTACTTCCAAACTATATTTCAATTTGGGTTCATTATTCTTTCTTGTCGTGGTAAACATCATAAACATTTATTTTATGTCGGCAATTAATGCAAATATTGGTGAATTCCCATTTAGAATTTCATAATGAATGTATGTTTGGGTTGAATAATCAGGTACCTCATTGTGATTGACGATGTATGGACCATATCCGCATGGGATGCAATACGATGCAAATTGCTAGACAACAACAATAGTAGCAGAATCATTGTGACTACTAGGATAGAGACCGTGGCCAAAGCATGTACCCTAGCTAATGCTTGGGGAGATCATATCTATCGAGTCAAGCCTCTCAAGTTGGAAGATTCCAAGACGCTATTTGTTAATAGAGTATTTGGCCCCAATAATGTTTGTCCCAATGATCTGGAGACGGCAATGGATGGCATACTGAAAAAAAGTGCTGGTTTGCCATTGGCAATTGTTAGCATCGCCAGCCTTTTGGCAAGCTACAAAACGCCTGGCAGCTTGGAGATGTGGACGAGAATCTGCAACTCAATTGGTTCTCAAATGGAGAGTAACCCCACATTGGAAGGAATGAGACAATTGATTACACTAAGCTACAACCACCTTCCACATCATCTGAAGGCTTGCATGATGTATCTCAGCATTTTCCCGGAGGATTACGTGACAAGCAAGGACCGACTCCTCAACAGATGGATTGCTGAAGGGTTAATTCCTGAGAAGCGTGGACTGACACTGGAGGAGGTTGCAGAATCCTACTATGATGAGCTGTTTAGCAGGAACATGATCCAGCCAGGCCAGGTAATATATGATGGTTCAGCGATTGAGTGTCGTGTGCATGATATGATGCTGGAGGTCATAGTGTCCAAGGCCCTAGAGGTGAACTTTGTCAGCCTGATAGGAAGCCGATATGGAGGGTCATCACATGACACTGTACGCCGCCTCTCCATCCATGGCGACCTGGGTTCCAATATTGAGGAGACAAGCATGCGGCATGTCCGGTCTTTGAGCACTTTTCGACCAGAAGGTCAAGGCAAGCTGCTTGATCGACTTGCCGAGTTCACCCTGCTCAGGGTACTAGACCTACAAGACTGCAAAGATGTAAAAGACCACCATATGAAGCATATTTGCCGGCTGTTTCTTCTCAGATTCTTGAATCTTAATCATACAGATATCACACTACTACCTAGCCAGATAGGTGAGCTGCAACATTTGCAGACGCTTTGGCTATATGGCACGCTCCTTAACGGGGTTCCAGAATCCGTTATCAACCTCGAGAAACTTGAGTACTTTGGCCTTTCCAACAGGAAAGATTGGAGGGTACTTTTGAGGCTGCCTCGAGGGCTCGGGAAAATGAAGGCCCTAGAGGGTTTGTTAAGGGTTGATATCCGTGAAGGCGATACAGAACTTGCCAAGGAGATGGGCGACATGGTTCAATTACGAAGACTTGGAATCGTCCTCCGTTGCACCGGCTGCTCGGATAAGCCCGTGCTCAGAGAGATTGGTAACTCCATCGGAAGGATATCCTCCATCCGTCAGATCTCCGTTGAAGACATGTCAGAGGATGCAAACAACATGGACTTTCTTCATCACCTCCCCTCCCCACCACTCCTCCTCCGGCACATCACAGTTGGTGGCAAAATCAACGGGTTTCCAGACTGGATGGCGTCACTCACACACCTCGTCCATATAGAACTTTGGTGGATTGACATGCACGGTGATGACATATACGGTGTCCTGTACAAGCTGCCTAACCTGCTGAAGATCACGTTGGATAGGAAGTGCTGCAAGGATGAGGAGCTGGTTGCGCGCACCACCTTCAAGTTCCCGGTGCTCAAAGAGCTGGCCATTGTTCGTGATAATAGTACGCCGAGAGTTGTTCGATTTGAGCAAGGCGCCATGGGAAAGCTCGAAAAGCTCATGGTGCGATTCTGTGACCAGGAGAGGAGCCTGGCCGGCATTGACAACTTAACCAGCCTTCAGCAGGTGGAACTCGTTGGTAAGAAAAACACCAAGGCGCTACAGGTGGCAGCGGACCAGCTGAAAACCGAGAGCCAGAGTCGCCAGGAAGCAGAGCAGTTCAAAGTTGTACTAAAATACGAGTGATCAGCTGTGTCTCTGTTTTGTACCTTTTGTTAGAGCACGCTTGTGCATGTCTCCTTTTATTTCTTGAGAAACACAATGTGCCATGAGCCGTTGCAATTCATTAGGCAGATTTTTTGACAAAGGGGAATTTTTTTTTGACCGGAAAACCGTAGAACAATAGTTCTACGGTAAATTATACTCCCTCCGGTCCTTTTTACTCTGCATATTAAGTTTGTCTGAAGTCAATCTCATCCAACTTTGACCAAATTTATATAAAATATTATTGACATTTACATAACAACACCAATATCATTAGATTCATCTCGGAATATATTTTCATATTATATTTATTAGATATTATAGATGCTAATAATTTATAATATAAATTTGGTCAAACTTAGCTAAGTTTGACTTTCGGCAAATCCAATGTGCAGAGTAAAAAGGACCGGAGGGAGTATTAATAACAAAATATGTACAAAATCAAGCTGTTGATTTCCTTCTTGTTTTCAATCTGAATTGTCCATATTAGTGTCGAACAACGATCGTGTAGGAAAATATATAGCGTATGCACATCATTTCCGAAGCGAAACTACTTTACGCATGACAGTTTGCTTTTCGGTTCTTTTTTTTTTGAAACGGAGGCAAAAGATTTGTCTCATCGATTAATTAAGCAGAAGAGAATTGCCCAGTTAATTAAATGGAAAATCGGGCGAAAACCGATACAAACCAACCATACGCACAGAGCATGCAACCCTATAAGTACGTAATCCGACAACCAACCCTCACACTGCAACATCGCAAAGATAGCCCCAACGAGAGTAATTCGGCCGAAGACCACGCGCACCACCAAAGCCACGAAGACAAGTCATTCCATAAGGACAACCCAAGATACCGATGACCATCCATCAAGCAGTTGCAGACGCCTTTCCTGTGACATCACTCTTCTTTCCTTTGCTCCTAAGAACCTCCTCCACAATTGCCTTGCCAGATCCCGGGATAACCCTCTCCAAACGTTTGAGCAAGCTATGAAGCTCTATCTGGAAGAGAATCTCATTGACCTTATCACGCACAGAAACCTGCCCAACGACTAGATGCGAGTGAGTGACCGCAACATCAGAACCTCCACGCTCCACAGAGGCGAGCGGCTGTGTGGGCTCCAAGGGATCAGGCGCCAACATACCAACCGCCTCAACATCAGCACTCGCAGGTACCACCGGCATGATGGACTCAGGCACCTCGAGTTGCTCACAAAATAAAGCCTCAGAGTTAGGTGCCAGCACACTTATCTCATCAACCTTGTCACTCAAAGACACCACATGCCCAATGGCCATAGATGAGAGAGTGAGAGAACATACCAAGCCTCCAATGTCCACGAAGGCGGGCGGCTGATAATACTCTGACCGTGGTGGTGGTGATGGCGTCATGGCCACCACTAAGGACTCCAACTCCATCGGTAGCACCATAGGTGATTCCCCACAAAGCTCCCGCGGCTCAGGCATAATCTACAGAACTGGAGCCACGACCTCGGGGATGACCACATTCCCATGAATAGACGGTGTCGCATGCCGACCACGAGGAGAAAAATCTCCAAAGAAGCATTCAGCCTCCCCATCAATGGAACCAACCTGAAGCTCGGGCAACAAAGGCACAAACGAAGCAACATGAAGCTTGGCAAGAGCGTTATGAAACTCAGTGCGGAGCAGATCAACCTCCTCAAGGAGCTCTGTGCGCAATAGGGCAAGCTGGGACTCCAAAGTAGAGACCAAAAAGGCATTGATGTTGGAATCCTTGCAACACCCAAATCGGGACCTTGGCGGCACCGATGCACGTGGCGACGAGTGGCCCACGACCTCAGCCCAAGTCCTGTTCAACGAAGGACAGGTGCGGCTTCGCTGGCGAGGAGCACGACTTTTTGCCCAAAAGGACCCCCTGGCCAACAGAATTGCCAAAAAAGACCACATGTCAAAAATATTGTCAAAAAGGACCCCCTCGCTAGTGGCGGCAAGCGACACGTGGCACCTGCCGCCATGCCATGAGGCGGCGGGCCCGGCCACCACAGCAGGAGGCGGCAGCGCGGCTTGTAACAGCTTACATACAGCGCAGCAGGGGCAACGTAACGGGCGAGGCCAGGTGGGCAATGCCGCCACCCAGTGAGGCGACCGTTGTTGCCGCTGTCGCTCGCGGGCCGACAGGCCGTGATGCTCACGGGCCCCGCATGTGGGTCACGCCGCCACTGCAGTAGGTGGCGTCCCTGTTGCTGCACGGACAACGACGCAGATGGCGCTGATTCCGGAGCTGACGACGCAGATTTTCACGGGTGTTGATTCCACGGTTCCTTATTTTGCTTTCTGCCACAAGTTTCGATGATCTGGAATCGGATTCCCGCCTAAACTTTGTAGTACTGATTGTTATGTAGACGACACTGATTAAAGCAGTGTGTGATTCTCGCTTTCGTCTATTTCTCTAGCTGAAGCGACAGCACTCATGCGTGATGATTTGAACGCATGTTTTCCTGCCGCACACTCGACAGCGTTGTTGTTGCTGTGTGTGATGAGACACCGCGATGCTGGAATCCGATGCCGCGGTAGGTGAGTTCTGGCTAGTTCTGCCGATAATACAGTGGTCCTCTTCTTTTTAAACGCACATCTGCGGCTCCGTGCGCATACACTCTCTCTTGCATATCTCTGGTTGCTTTCTCTACCTCTTTGCTCTCTCTAAGCGCATACATAGACAGAAAGAAAAACTTGGTATAGCCACTTTCACTCGTGATTTTGGTCGATGTAGAGTTGGATTTTGAAGATGATGAAGTTGAAGAAAAGATAGATTAAGGTAAGATCTATCCATTTTTGTTGGTTTCGTTCGCATGCATGATGTTTTTGTTTTGTTTTATTAGTTTCTAAGTGTGTATTCTTGTTTTAGGCATAATTTTAGCACTAGGAGGAGTCATTTGGAGTCATTTAGAGCTTGAGGAGTAGGATTTGCGTTGCAAAAGTGAACTACGAAGTTGAAGATCAAGGTATGAGCTTTGCAATACATGTAATTTTTTGTGCATGCACGATGGTAATTAGTTAGTCTTTTAACTCGTCATTAGCTATGCGATGTTAGTGCTTAGAGGTTAGAAATAATTTCAGACGACAGATACAACATTTATAATATTTTTTTAGAAGAGTAGGTTGAAGATGTTGTATCTATGTTAGGTGCATCCATTAGTATTGACATGCAAGAAATCTTAATACGGTAATTAAGAAAAAAATCTTGTACTGTAATTGTTCATTGCATGTTGTATGTTATTTCATGTGGTATGTTTATTAATAAGTCTATAGTTAGGAAGCCGTAGGTCTACTTTGTTATGTTGCAATAATCTAAATTTTATATGTTAAGATTATGTGCTAATGTACTTGATGATGTATGTAGTTAGATAAAATAATTCATCTTAGTAGCAAACAAGGAGGAGATGACGCACTACTAGAAAAAGGCCTGCTAGTGGCGCACCTAAGGGGGGGGTTGCATTCGGGGGAATTTTGGGTCAAAAGTAGTAATGGCGCACCGTGGGTGTGGTGCGCCCCCACGGTGCGCCATTACTAACTTTGGAAAAAAATAAAGAAAAAAAATAAAAAAATTGTTAGTAATGGCGCACGTGGGTGTGGTGCGCCATTACTAGTTTTAACTAGTAATTGCGCACCACATCCACGGTGCGCCATTACTAGTTTTAACTAGTAATGGCGCACCACACCCACGGTGCACCATTACTAACTTTGAATAAATAAATAAATAAAAGTTTGAAAAAAATTGAAAAAAATTTACAAGTGGCGCACGGTGGATGTGGTGCGCCATTACTAGTTTAACTAGTAATGGCGCACTATCCCCTGGTGCGCCATTACTAGTTTTGAAAAAAAATTAAAAAAATTGTTACTAATGGCGCACCGTCTATGTGGTGCGCCATTAGTATTTGGACACTAATGGCGCACCACATGTCTGGTGCGCCATTAGTGTCCATATCATCTATAGCCTCTTTTCCTAGTAGTGACGTGATTGAAGAAATTGTGTTTCCATCTTCGCTGTCCCTTTTGAGGTGATGACCAGATACATGCAAGTGTTATTTTCATACTTTTGATAGCAGAAAGAAAAATGCGTGTGTAATATTGATGTTCATGTGATAATAGGTTGACTCCGTTCATATAGTACTGGCGACGATGAAAGCACAAGTGCTCCCTAGGTTGTTTTGGCAATTAATGTCAACATATCTCTTGTTGTACTAACACTTTTATCTAGTATATTTCAGACAAGTTCAACAATGGAGTGGCATGGACTAAAGGATGTGGGAACTCCTTCTAGATGATAAGGACAAAGGATTGGCTAAAGCTTCAAGCTCAAGACTCTTCATTTTACATTTTAGTGATCCAAGATCACATTGAGTCTATAGGAAAAGCCAATACTATCAAGAAGGGATGAGGTGTTGCTTAATGAGTTTCTTGCTCGACAGTGCTTAGTGATATGCTCCAAAACCCTCAACTACTTTCCCACTTCCACTCATATGACCTAAACCTAAAGCCCAAATCGGTCACACCGATTCTTTCTATCCCGTGCCACCGAGTTCAGATGTCATAGCCACTGCCACAAACCCTAGGCAAATCAGTCTCACCGATAGGGATCTCGGTCTCACCTAGATGGGATTGTAATCTCTCTGTGTATGTCCATTATCAAAATCGGTCTTACCGAGTTTGAGCAATCGGTACTACCAAGATTACAATGCAAACTCTCTGGTTAACTTCTTACCAAAATCGGTCCCACCGAGTTTGAGTAATCGGTCCCACCGAGTTTGCCTGACCAACTCTCTGGTTAGCTTATTACCAAAATCGGTCTCACCGAGTTTGTGTAATCGGTCTCACCGAGATTACGTTATGCCCTAACCCTAATCATATCGGTCCTACCGAGTTGCATTTCGGTCCCACCAAAATTCCTAACGGTCACATTGTTTGCTAAATCGGTCTGACCGAGTTTATTGATTCGGTCCCACCGAG